CGAGATCGCAATTCGACAGAAGCTGCGATTGTCATGCGTATCTTTCAGTGAAGCACGGTTCTGTTATCAGCAGTAAATCTCCATCCAAAGGCCAGAGGGCGCTCTCGCGCTGAAACTCCAAATACGCCTCGCAGAAGAAGAAAACCAGAAAATGCCTATGGCTGCAGCTGAATAAACAGAAGTTTTGCGGTGTTGCTAAATAAATTCACCACTTAATTTTGAGTTAAAATATGTTGTTGTAACGTGCGTTACTGCGATTGTTACGAGTAATAATATTACTCAAATTTTATTAGTAATGCGTTATATTACTGCGTTACGGCAAAAAGTAATATACTACTGTAATATTGTTACTTTGTAATGCGTTACTCCCAACACTGCTAGGGAAGTATGTCTCATACACAACGCATGTCTAATACACAAAGCCTCTCCATATCAAAAGTCAAACATCCAACATCATCTTATCAGTGTTATGTATTATTATTCATATACTACTACAGTATTTATTATCTTAAAATAGCTTTTGGTTTTACATTTTCGTTTTTAATTTTAATTTTAATTTTAGTTAAAGTTTTAGTAATTTTATTACGTGCATTGGTCATTTTTATTGCACTTTTATTAATAATTTTTTTTAAATTTAGCTTTATTTAGCTTTAATTTTTTTACAGTTAGTTGTAGTACTTTTAGTACAACTTAAACATATTACAGGTAGTTGCTAAAGCAAGCATTTCTAATTGTCGTGCTGTTTTTTTTTTTTAGTTTTTAGTCTGCTATTTATATTTTATTTTATTTCAGCTTTATTTCAATACTGAAATGTAGGTTTCTTTTAGTTATCAGCTGGGTCTGATCACTGCACAACATCAATGATTAAACATCACATAAGAACATGAGTCGGATTACAAAGGAACCTGTGATGAGTGTCAAAATAATGAAATATTATTAATGTATTACTCTGATGACACGTGTGCCCACAATATGCCCAATATGCATTTCCTTTGCAGAAATCTACATAGAAAAACAGAGCTAGCAGTGAATCTAGACTGCGTTCCATAGACTTTATTCCTGGTCATTAGCAGGACAGGAACATTCCTGAACTGAGATGAAATGGCAGAATGGTTTCTGCCTCCAGCGTGACTGTGTTAGATTCATGATTGACACCACATGATCATTTGGCTTCAGTCTGCCTGTCTCTTCGCAGCCATTTGGGGCCTGATTCACACCACATGACCCAAAGCCTCCAATGTAGCCAGTGTCTCTGCCAGACTTTGCCCATCAGTGAGTCGCATCCCATGATGGAGCAGCATGAGGCAAAATTCATATTCCAATGAAACCATAAAATACTACTGTTCATTGGCATTTAAGCCACTGCTATGGAGATATTTACAGTCCCAGTACAGTCCCAAATAAGTATGACACAACAGACTCAAGTCATTATAAACTATAACAATAATTGATGACAAGTGTGCGAAATATTCAGATATTCAGCGAAAATATTCAACATTCCAACATTTCAATGAGCAAAATTTTAAGGGCCCAATCGGCTCATGCAAACCAGTTGTTTTTTGGTGCCCACAGGTTGCAAACATTCAACTATTTAAATGACATAATTATTAAAAATATAATGTTTTGCTACATACTTTCATAATTGAAGTGATAATTAATGACAACACCTTAAAGTTTATCCTTTGTGGTTACTAAAATGTTTGAAAAAGCTGTTAAAATAATATTTGTGACCCTGGACCACAAAACCAGTCATAAGTAGCACGGGTATATTTGTAGCAATAGCCAACAATAACTTGTATGGGTCAAAATTATACATTTTTCTTTTATGCCAAAAATCCTTATAGGATATTAAGTAAAGATGTGCCATGAAGATATTTTGTAAATTTCCTACCGTAAATATATCAAAACTTAATTTTTGATTAGTAATGTGCATAGCTAAGAACTTCATTTGGCAACTTAAAAGGTGATTTTCTCAATATTTTGATTTTTTTTGCACCCTCAGATTCCAGATTTTCAAATAGTTGTATTTCAGCCAAATATTGTCCTATCCTAACAAACCATGCATCAATGGAAAGCTTATTTATTCAGCTTTCAAATGTATAAATCTCAATTTAAAAAAAAATTACCATTATGACTGGCTTTGTGGTCCTGGGTCACATTTATACTTTTAAATGTAAAAAGAATACACACTTCACAGGACCCCCACCAAATATTTTATATAGAGCCATATACAACTTTGAGGGCTTCAAGCTCTCCAACGAAATCAAAATTAGCACCCTGTTAAAGACCAGTTTCAGCGCAGGTCGTATATATTCATAATTCCCTAAGAATAGCCTTCATGATACGTTGTTACTATTACCACACATAAACCAAGCTATGACAAAAGTTACAGCGTGTTCTGAAAGAGCTTCATGTATCAGACGCGTTGGTGTCAATGTCACGAGCATCAGCTGGGAATAAGAGCTGTCTGTGTCTCACCTGAAGCGGCCGCCGCAGTGCTGGCATTGCTCCCCGACCCATCCCGGCTCGCACACACACACGCCACTGGCGGTGTTACACTGGCCGTTCAAGCACGTTTTATCGCACTCCTTCGCCTCCGTGGCCGCGGGGAGACGGACCAGTCCGCTGAGGGCTGTGATGAAGAGAAGAAATCGCAGTACGGTGCCGTGAAGGCCTCCGCGAGCCAGGCCGAGTGTCAGACACCAGCCCCGGCCGAGGGCCCTCCGAACCTCCGCGGCCATTCGCGCAGATACGGCCGACAGTCGGCGGCGAATCCGCTGCTAGTCACTAGCGGATGACGGGAGACAAAGGATGACAGGGTCGTCGATGCTTTCGTTTTGGAGGCAGATTGTTTTATCTTTTCTTCCCGTTCACATCTTACCGATGCTTATCGCTGCAGTACCGAGACGCATATCGACACCCGGACATGACGAGTTTTCGGGCGAGACGCGGAAGTACGCATTGATTGATAAGCAGCGCGGAATTTAATCCGGTAATTAGGATAAATGACCCAGAACAAATGATATAAACATTAGGTATAATATAAAATATTTTAGGACTAAAGCAATATTATAATAGACACGTACAATGCCGTTGAAGTGGGGTTATTCTCTGTAGGAGATTTACGTGGTTGGGACATAAAATTATAAAGCAAGCATAACTCTCTACAAATCTTTCTGGAGTCATTATAATATCAAATTGTATGTGATAAGATTTCTATTCCATTCCACACATTCTGGTGTATTAAAAGTTCATTAAGTGGCTGTAGATAATCTAACTATAGCTCAACAGCGTTCCCTTATGGCATTTTGTGGTATTTAACCATCAAATATACTACTACACAATGTAACAAATGTTTCATTAAAAACATTTTTATAGTTCTTCTGTAATGATTATTATTGTATTGTTTATTTTCACGTAGCATCGAAATTTAGGTCAGATAAATTTGAGAACTTTTATCATGAAACATTGGTTTAGTACAAATAAGTGTTTTGTTTTTTTTTGCAAGATATTTTGCTTTTGCAATGATGTGGACATTCCACAAGTTTCTGTAAAATTCTGGAATATTCTAGTGCTTTCAGAAACATTCCAGAGCATTGTGGGACTAGTCACAAAAGAGAAATCATCCAATGTGCACTTCTGAAGTTTTTGACTCACTTTGGCAAGTGTTTATGTTAAACTGTTGTTAGCTCAGTGTTATGCATGAGTAATACCAGATTAGCTTGTATAAGTTGTCAACATTTTTTTTTTTCATGGGCACTTTTAATGATACTTTTTTTTTTGTGTGTGATTTTTTTTTTTGTATTCAGCATGTCAAACAAAGAAACTTTAAAAAAATAAAAGCAAAACAACTTTTAGAAAAATTTGTTTCACGGTGCTATAAAAGATTCTTGGAAAAGCATGGTAACAGTATATAAAACATGCCTTATAGTAGGAAACTGCTGCAAAAAGTGCATCCATAAAAAATGATTAAAAAAAACAAAGCACTTTTACAAACATCATAGAACGTTTATTAAATTCTGACTTGTAAGAAGTCACAATAATTCAACGCACTCCACTGGATGAAGTGCATTCATATACCTTATTTATGCCTCAAACCAATCCAACGGATTGATTTTTGTTCTCAACATAAATAAAAACAAATAAACATATTTACATAGACGGCAGGAGACATGGCTGGGCTAAATAACATGAACATGAAACAGGGATATCAACAGTCACAAGGAAAAAACAAAACATCTGAAAAACACTGGAGGAACAGACTTGTCAGAACCAAATGCTACATTAACAACAATGAAACAGGCATGAATAAAACCGATTTAAACCTAGAGACTGGAGAAGATCATTAGGCAGGGAGAGAGCCGTTGGAAGGATTTGCCACAGTGATCTGAACAAACGGGATCAGCACTCGTTGCGGTCTTCACTGGGTCGGGGTCACAGATACAGGTTAAAAGCTGAAGGGTTCACAAGTGGTCCCTGACGTGGATTACAGGATGCAGTCCTCGTGATTAAGGGTCAAAGGTCATAATCTCATGTCCGTTCTGCAGCATAACAGCCCCGTTCAGGAAACACACCAGTATTCACATACATACGGAAGCGGCTCCTGAAGGTGCAGAGGCACCCGGTGCTCTTTAAGACGACCACAGAGATCAAATCTGTCACCAGAGACCATAAAGATCCACTCTATCGCCATTCTCTCAAACAATTCTTAGGAAAATCGCCCACAGAAGTTGAAAAAAAAAGTTGTAAAAAGCAGTTACTATACAGAAAATTCCATCATATACAAAAGAAAATTGAGTTCCTCTAATCAAAATTGGTAAGAAAAATCATACAATCAGTAATTACCTGATATGTTACAATTAAGGGTGTGTGCTGAATATTTGGTCGAAGTGATTCCTCCAGCTTTATCCTTTCTTATTGTGTAATTAGTCAAAGCACTTCTTATTCAGTTTTTTTTTTTTTTTTAGGAAAATTATCACAATTCGTGTTTCAAAATGATTTGAAATACAGTAAACTACTTTTCTGGCTGCCAATGACAACAAGTATTTTACAGAATGATGTTCAAAGTCTCAGTTTCAAATCATTCAATTCTAAGTCTCATACTGACCATCATCACAAACGTGTCATTCGTGTCTCAAAGTCCAGCTTAAAGGTAGTTTGAATATTTCCACGTCCGCTCAGTCACACGCAGATTCACGTTCATCAAGCCACTAACACTGTAACAGCGAGTGGCTCTAATGCCTCTGAACTTGTGCGTTCGGTCTTGAACGAGCGCCTTTAAAGCACACAAAGCCTCTGTTGCTTATTATTTAAGCCTATTTACATTAGAGGAGAAAAAGAACTCGTACAATTTTCCGTTCGGACAGGAAAGCACGCGTCGCACGACTTCCTGTTTAAGACATGCAGAGTGAACGGCGTCCGAAGGCAGGTCATTCATCAGCATTCGTTAGCACTGGAAAAACAACAACTCTCCTCCTACAGCAAGTGTGTGTGTGTGCTTCTGGAGTTTGGAATCATGGGATTGGTCAACGATGAGTTGAAAGAAATGCGATGGGGGCTTATTGTAAATCAGCGAACGCCCTTGGCACAAACACCACAGCGGGCAGCTTGTTTTATGGTTACGATGTGTTTGGTTTCAGTTGTAGAGGTTCGTGGAATGATATGTTGTTTAGATGGGCTCAGTTTATCTGCTCTTTATCTGTACGGTAGTGTCTGAATGAAGTGCGTTCTAAGAGGTGGTGACTGGTTGTGTTTGTCATCCCGCAGATGAGGCACAGTATGTGTCTGTTTTTGAGTGGGAGTTCTAGTTTGAGGAGGATATCTGGCGCGACGGTCGTCCTGCAGATGAAGCGCTGTATGTTCGAGTGCGTTGTCGGATTCTGCAGGGCACCTCCAGCTCCTGGAATATAGGGGCCTCTGTGATCTCTGACGCCTCTGGCCGCTCGGCGGGCACTCGGGACAGCATACAGCGCACCATCTCGTTGATGTATGGTTTGTTAGGATAGGATAATATTTGGCCGAGATACAACTATTTGGAAATCTGGAATCTGACGGTGCAAAAAAAATCAAAATATTGAGAAAATCCCCTTTAAAGTTGTCCAAATTAAGACCTTAGCATTGCATATTACTAATCAAAAATTAAGTTTTGATATATTTACGGTAGGAAATTTACAAAATATCTTCATGGAATACGATCTTTACTTAATATCCTAATGATTTTTGGCATAAAAAAAGAAAAATCAATAATTTTGACCCATACAATGTATTGTTGGCTATTGCTACAAATATACCTGTGCTACTTATGACTGGTTTTGTGGTCCAGGGTTACATATATAGAGAGAGAGAACGATTGTCTATATGAATGAATAACCAACGGCAAGATAATTTTTTATTCTCAGAATAGAAAATGGTGGGTGAACAGAAGAGTTTTCTGTAAAGCTGTTTTAAAACATATGTTGTGGTATGTACTATACAAATACAGTATTCTAAATTTAGTATTCTAAAACAGGTCTGACAACTGCATTCTGCTGCTGTATGAGTGAAAAACAGTTTCAACTGGAGATGTTGATGCTGTAAATGTAACTTTGCACCTATAGGGGGCACTAGAAGTGTTGTTCATCTTTAGGATTTCCCAATTGTAAGGTCCCTCCCACTCACCATTGCAAAATAGGCAAACAAACACAAACAAACTTACTTCCAGGACATTGGCCTTACAGAAAGCAGCAGGAAACTGCAGGGCTCTGACCTCTGTGAGAGTCTGAAAGAAAAACAGTTAGAGGTTTATCATTCCGTACAATATAATCAAATATTCTATTCAAAATTTCTATTCTTGCATTCACATGAGTACATTAGCGTTCAGACTTTTTCTTTTTTTGGAAAGAAATAAATACTTTTATGCAACAAGGACAAATCAAATTGATCAAATGTGACAGTAAATACATTTATGTTGCTACAAAAAAATTATTATATTTTTTAATAATAATAATAAATGTTTTACAGGAATAAATTACATAACAGTTGTTTTAAATTGTAATAATATTTCACAATATTTAGATTTTTACTGTATTTTTAATCAAATAAATGCAGCCTTGGTAAGCATAAGAGACTACTTTCAAAAACAAAAATTTTACAGACCCTAAAAATCTGAACAATGGTCTTACCCGGACTCTCTCCATCTGGGTGCGGAATGGACAGAGAAGCTCAAAAAGAATCAGGCCGAGGGAATAAATGTCCACCTTGTGAGAATAAGAATTCCCAGACAGCTACAGAGGGAAAAGCAAGAAATGAAAGGGACAAATAAATAGTTTTTAAATAAATCTATTTTGACATTTTACATCAAAATAAAAATGCAAGTGGTGCTTGGCCATAAAAATGTCACCTCCTTGATGGTTACGAGTCTGTTAAGGTGCTCTTAGATATATTGCTATGTGGTTGCTAACTGGCCCAAGTCAAAAGAGCCCACGTTAAGTCTCTTTGACATTCAAATCCTTAAATGTGACTCAGGTCCCTCCTTTATGCTGTTTTTATCTCCCGCCAGCGTTTCCCTTTGGCTTGTTGTATGTTAAACACCAGCGCTGTTTTCACACTAAATTGTGAGTAGTTTGTGCAGTGAGTGACAGGAACTGACCTGTTCTGGGCTCATGTAGAGTTTGGTGCCCACTTGGCCAGTGTGACGGGCATAGACTGGCATTGGTGTGAGGGTACTCAGCTCCTCGTCATCTTCCTCCTGATCCATGGCAGTGACCAGTCCGAAGTCTCCCACCTTCACCACGTCATCCATTGTGAAGAAGATATTAGATGGCTGAGAGAGAAAGAGAAAGAAAAGAAAATGAAGCGCAGTTTGCTTCGGAAAAGCCCTCAATGCAAGCACGTTTTCATTTTTAACACCAACCTTAAGATCTCTGTGCATAAGCCCTTTGCTATGCAGGAAATCCACAGCTTCTGCGATCTGCAGGAAGATGTCCAAACACTGAGCGTGTTCCCTGAGCTCAGGCAGACACCTCTGAGCCATCCAGTCCTTCAGGTTCTCCTTCCTGCACAGCTGCATCTGAATGTACAAGTAGACCTTAGGTGTGAGCGGGGGCCGCGTGGCAGGACAGGGGGTGCTGGGGGCCAGGCTCAGAGAGGTGGGCCTTGAAGGTACGGAAGAGGGAGGTCCCGCTGACGCACTACGCTGAGGTTTGGAGCCAGACTGTGAAAGGCACGCAGGTGGCACAGGTGTACTTCCACTGAGGTCACTGTCATTGTCCTGGTGTTCACAGCCTGAGTCCTCGAAGACGATGTCGAAGGAGGAAGAAGTGCAGTCGCCGTGAGTAACTGTGCGGGGAGGGCAGAGTTCAAAGGAGTGCGGGGAATCGGAGACCTCCGGGATAGCATCTGGGTCAGCCTGACTGTCACGTTCTGACATCATACTGTCCGGCCCCAGGCCCTCCACACACACCTGATCTCCGACACACACACTCGTGTCGCCACCGGCCGCACACATGCATGAGGAGTCCACCGGAGAAGGGGTGGCCACAGGAACCTTGACTGAGAACGCCTCCATGTGGTCAGGAGAACTCAGCAGCCAGTCAGCAGTGCTAAAGAAAAAATAAACAACAGGATCCTTCAAGTTATGTCCTCACTTCCAGATTTATTTTTATAATCAAAATATAAATTGAGAAAAATTTAATTGGACACACAGACAGACAGGTGTATGTAAATACTAAAAATACTGCAAACATACATTTACACTACAGGTCAAAAGTTTGGAATTATTCTGTTGGTTTTGAGGTAAGTCTGCTTAATGCAGCTCCAAGGCTGCATTTATTTGAACCAATTGTGGGATATTACAAATTAAAGCAAAAATTTTTCTATTTTATTGTATTGAAGTTTTTCTGTGATGCAAAGCTGAATTTTCAGCATCATTTCTCCAGACTTCAGTGTCACATGATCCTTCATAAATCATTCTAATATTCTATTTTGGTTCTCAATTATTGGTACCTAATTAATAATAATAGTGCTTATTATCAATCTTGAGTTTTTGCTGCTTATTATTTTGGTAGAATTTTTTTAAGGATTAAAAGATGAATAGGAAAAAAAAAAATCAAAACAACTGCATTTTCTTTTTGGAAAAAAGTAACATTATAAATGCCTGTACTGTAACTTTTTTAATGCATCCTATCTGAATTTTTTTTTAATGTATATTAGGGATGGGCATTCCAAGCAAAAATAATATTCGAAAATCGCTGGGTATTATTCGATTATTATTCGAAAATCGCACCCCTCCCGCACGCACAAATACCCATAAACAGAGAGAGACGGGATTCACGCTTTCAATCTGTATGATAAACTGTTTAATTCAGAAGATAGTCTACCTTAACTCAAGCCATATAATGATTGTAACTTCGCCATCATCCTATCAGTCATCTCTCCTTACTCTGTTTATGTGGTAAGTGAAATGTTATGTACTGTAATGTAACAGGCTACCGCTAGCAAGCGGCTAACCATGTCCCTTTAATCGCTCCGTAGAACACATTATTTGTTTTCCGCGCCTTTCTGAATACGGATTCAGCCACACCTCAAACCCAGTCGTGAGTGTTTGTGGTCCGCACAGAGCTCTCATTTGACATCATCCCAAGTTATTGTAACCATTATATGCTACACAAGTCTTTTTTTTTTTATGCCACGCAAGTCTACAGTGTGCACGTGAGACAATGTGTTCTTCAGTTGTCTTTGACAGCTTTTAGGTGCGTTATTGGCAGCGCCACCCTTTGCTTACATGAACGCATCACCACCGCATCAGCACGGAAAACATGGGGAAATTGTAAAGACAATAATCGCACAACCTATTCGATATTCTATAATTAAATCAACTAATCGAATATTCGAAAATCGTGACCCATCCCTAATAAATATATATATAGATATATATAAATGATGTTTTAAACATTGATCATGAGAAAAGTGTCAGCCAACAGGTCCTACTTAATTTTTCTTTTTTTAATTCAAATTTTTTTTTTTTTTATATTTACACTTTTTGATGTATTTACGTCACTTTTCCCATTTTGCCATTTTGAAAAATCATTTAATAGAAATTGACATGAATATTTAGGAGATTAAACATTGTAGAATTAAGCATAACTTCAATACTGAGTCAAGCAAAGTTCAATACTGGACTATACATACACACTGCATTTAATACAATAATCTATCTGCTACCACTGGATACCATCCAATGCACATCCATGACATTTTGCGTATCCAGTTCATGTATAATCTGTTGCACCTTCGCATATTTTATGTGTATATATGTCTACATAATGTAGAATGTGTACATACTGTGTATAATGTGTATTGCTAACTGTAAGTATGTACATACTGTGTATAGCTAACTGTAAGCATGTACATACTGTGTATTATGTGTAGTGCTAACTGTAAGTATGTCTAATAGTACACTGTGCGTACTGACTATATGTATGTGTATATTGCATTGTCATCTGTTGAGGTCTGTATGTTTATATGTAAATTGTTTCTGCACTGTCTGGAGCACGCTCCCAAGAATTTCACTCACCAAGGCACATGTGCTGTGGTGATGTGACAATAAAAGTGACTTGACTTGACTAACTATAAAAATGTTTATTCAAAAGAGGATTTTTCAGAGACTTTTACCAGCCCAGAAATGGGACTTCTCTGAAATTCTCTGGCTATCCATAACCGCAACAACCCTGTATTTATCAAAAGTCACCAGGTTTCTGTTCAAGGCCACGTTTTGCACCTTGCGTCTTTGAGCCAGCGTTTGTCCATGTCCTCCTGCCAGCCCTGGGGCGGGCTCTCCTGCCAAGCGTTAAAGTAACGGATGATGCCTGGGTGTTCCAGCTTAGCTAGAGCCTTCACCTCTCTCATGACCTTCTCCCGAGCCAACTCCCTACAATCACAAACATAGCATTACAGACAAACATACACACTTGTCTCCCAAATGGATGTTTTTTATGGAGCACTAATGTTTGTGTTGACTGATACCTGTTGGGTAGACGGATCCTCTTGATGGCGTAGTTGCAGTCATCCACTTTGTTGCGTGCCTCAAACACGACACCAAATCCACCACGTCCCAAACACTGTACTGGCTCGAAGTCTGTCAAGTACCTGATAAACACAAACACAAATCAGTTATGAAACAAGTCCTTTGGACTTTGTTCTGCTGATCTGAATCACCACTGTATGTTGTACAATAGAACAGCTGTGTGTCGGCGTTCAACTGAGCTCAACAGAGCGTGCAGAGAAGCCTACTAAAACAGTTACATACTGTATAAATTAGTCATTTAAAACGTCACTTGAAAACAATCAAACTCAAACAACAAATAAACTGCACAGCAAGAGCACTTGAGTCATAATAGCTGTGCATTTACCCTTGAGAATTTAAAAGCAAAATATGATCATGATGCCATCTGTGCATTCCACATTCAGCAACTGCAAGTCTCTAATGCAACATGTGCAAACAAGTGTAAACTATTTTAGGAAATGAGTTTGAATTTCCATATTTAAAAGAGGAACTCCAACTGTAATTCTGACTGATGCATTTTTTACTTCTTCATTTAAAGGTAAAGTTACTTCGGGAAGCACCAAATGGAAGTGAAATGTGTTTGAGCAACCTGACTGAGCTGGACACTGGCTCAACCAATGGTGTGAGTATGGAGTGAGACTACCTGTTTGTCTAAAAAATGGAAAATGCAGCGTGTTTGAAAATAGGCATTATTTCTGATTTTTTTTTTTTTCTTTGAACTAGTACTAGTTGTAAGTTTGCTGTAGTATTTTTTTAACTGGTGCCCTCCTGAATCTGAAAACCCTGGAATACTTTACATGAACATTCTATTAATGAACAGAAACAGAAACAACGAATAGTAAATGTAGATTTAACTTGGTCTCCAATAAATAAATAAATCTGCATTTACTATTCATTATTTCGGTTTCAGTTTTTTAAATTAACATCAACAATTAATTGTAATAATAATTAACCATCTTACACGAACAAGCTATGGACCCCAAATCAGCATTAACATCAATATAAAATTAAAAATGCAAGCTCACTTACCTAGAAACATATTCACAAGGACGTGTCTCTGTGACAACAATTTCTTTGGGTTCTGTAATGTCCAGTTCAAACTTGCTGTCAGTTTGACACTGTGTCTCAGACTCCTTTCTTTGCTGCACAGATGAATTAAAACAGAACAACATACATGACTTTTCACTGACATTATTTTGACACTATAAAAAAAATATAAGATGTTTTGTGTATATTGAGAGTTTTTGTTTACCCGCACGTATGTTATGGGCGGGTGGAAGAACTTGCGGACGATGTAGGTGGTGGCAGCGATGCAGAAGATGATGGTGCCCAGAATCTCTTTCCACCACGGCAGCAGCAGCACAGGGTCCTTCCTTCTCACCTGTGACCCCTCTCCATCTTTCTTCAGCAGAACACTCACTGCCGTCTCATCACGCCGGTTACGGTAACGAGGACTGTACGGAAAGTAGTATCCATTATCTACATTGGGAAACCGAGAAGAAGGTGAGGAGCTGAAATTCTCTCTCAAACCACATGTTCACAGTCATACCAAGTGTTGAAATGGACTGAATGACAGTTGTTCTTACCATATGGATACTGCAGTATTGACAGAGCCCCATTACTGTACTCCTCATGAGAGAATTTGTCATTATTCAGACATTTATCAAACTCATCAGAGCCCACCAGGACTGGAGTACGGGAAGGGGAGTCTAGGAGGAAATGGACACGTGTTATTGACAACATCACAATGTCTTGAGTACGGTCTTATTTTTGTGTGTATGATGTGTAATATACTTACGGATAAGGGGTTTCCATTTGACCGTAGGTGGTGGCATCATGTCACTGTTACTGCTCCACCCGTTCAGAGCTTTGGGCTTCGATGGAAACTTCTCGGAGATTCTCACAGAGGACTGGAGGTAAAGCTGACCCTGAAACATTCCTTTAATGAGAGAAATCACATTTTAGATTCCCATTACCTGCCTCTATTCCTCAACCAAAAAAAAAAATCACGTGTCTCAAATGCATCTCCTGTAAAGGGATTTTGAAATTGCATACACCACCAACTTAATTTGTTTTGAAAGATGTCTATTGTGCTGCTCATCTCATTATTTGATCAAAAATACAGTAAATTACAATTTCAAACAGTCTATACTCGTCTTCAGTGTCACATGATCCTTCAGAAATAACTGAAATATGCTGATTTGCTGCACAATAATTATTTATTACTATTATAAGTAATAAAAACCATTATACTGTTTAATATATTTTATATTTTTTTGTGGAAGCTGTAATTTTTTCAAGACTCTTTCATGATCAGAAAGAACAGCATGTGTTTAAAATGGAACATTATTCCAAATAATGACTTAAAACAAGTCACTTTTTTTCACTGTCACTTCTAAACAATTTAATGTATCCTTGCTGAATAAAAAAGTATTCAACTAAAAAAAAAAAAACCTTACTGACCCAAAATTAGCAAAATGAACAGAATACTTATTTTAGCTGAGCAGCTGTATTAACTACATTTGGCAAAGTTGGCAAAAGTTATAGCCCTTCTGTTTTATCTTAAATGTTGATTGACAGGTCAGGAGGCGGTCCTTCCTTGTTGCCTAGGATGCATCAGCATTTACCCCCTCCAAATGTAGCTTGAATGAACGGATCACAAAAACATTTGAGACCCAGTTTATACCTGTATTTAGACATGACTTTTAATTGGTTCAGCCAATGCCAATTTTTATACCAGATGTAAACACATTCATGTGTGTAAAACAAATGTCAAGTATGTGTTACCCAGGTAAACGCTGGACTCCGTGGCCCCACGGGCCTCCTCCATGATGTCATCGTCCTCCTGAGCCTCAGTCTCAGTGTGGGAGTTATACGAGGTGTCATCGAACAGGCTAATGGGCGTCACCTTCCCCCCTCCAACCAACCATGCAGAGGCAATGGGTGTGCAAAACTTCACAAAAAGGAAAGAAAAGAAGAAACCATGAAAAATGTGAAATCACATGTTTTAGCTGAGACTCCAAATGTCAACAAAACAGGTTGAGTTGTGTTACCTGATGCTCCCAGATCAGCTGTCCTTCTGGTTTGGTGCTGAAGGCCATGACTTTCCAGTCCGGCACAGAAACCTTAATGACCAGGTCTAAGCCCTCTACCTGAGTGTGTGAGTTTGGATGCGCATGATTTTTGGTTTGTGCGTCCGTCTCCTCTTGGATGACGTGTTGTGCTTCACGTCTGACCTCTCGCCATGTTTCCCCATTAGACGCCTCCCCCTCAAGGAAGTTGAGGTTGGACTGAATCTCAGGGACGAATTTTAGCTCAAAGTTTCCCACGCTGAAGTTCCATCTAACAGGGAGAGAAAACACAAAACAATTGGCATTTTACTAGGATGACTACTTTTCTACAATTGCTTTTCAATATCAAGCTGCGCAATGTTGATACAACCTAGCATACCGTGCATCCAATCTACCTCTGTATCATTTGTGAGATCAAAAGCAAGGTCACGTGAAGCGATCAACAGAGCCTGCGGGTATTTCTTACTTCTCAAACCCGTTGCGAGGCCTCACGGCTCTGACAGTTTTCTGTGTTCTCTGGAGTAACAGTACGTCCTCTGGCTCTCCTTCCTCGTCCCCCCACCGACTGCAGCCCACCGCTGAACAAATATACTTCAACTACAGAGAAAAAGAGAGCGAGGTTAAAGCTGACAACCGATACTATATGATAAAAGAGTTTGCATAGTGCCACAACAGCACATCAATCATTTATTGTTCTAAAAAACAATTGGAAAAAAAGGGTTTGAGTTACCTTGCCGCTGTATGCGCCAAGGCCATACGTGGTGAGGGACTTGCCACCTACAAGCACAGTGTCCTCTCCGATGCGGTACGAGGAGTCCAGCAGGGACTCGACACTGAATGGAACAGCCTCCATACTCTCCCTGTCCCTGTTCCACTGAAACAGAGCTCCATCCAGTGAGGGAATGAACATCTTGTTCCCAAAAATCTGAAGAACAGAAAGAGGTCATGAGAATCTTATTGTTTTTGATCTGATTGTTGTGGTAAATCGAAGTGGCACATGATTTTTATCTTGGGAAATATTTCACATTTTCGATCATCAGCAGCAGGGTGGATACAATGAGCAGATCATGATGGATAGAGACAAGGGGACAGACAACACTGAGACTTTGACCAATCAGCTTTGAGTCTGTGTGTGGCATTATCACACTGTATGTCATTAACATTTGGCGCTTGGTCTCCTGTTGTCCGAAGAGTTACACAATCCGACATGTCCTTAAAAGGATAAACAGGGACAAACGGGTACAAGTATCCTGAACATACACACACACATTGATAAAAAGAAAAGACCATTATATAAGGATGTTGTAACTGACCCTAATCCAAAAAGTGATCTCAGCTCAAACAGACACTTTAGTGAACAGGGGGGGGGATGAGATCACTGACTTCCTGTTGTGCTAAATCTAACCTTGACACCTGGTATGGACCAATAGGAAGCTGAAACACCATGAGAACGCAAGCACCTGGAAAACGAAAACAGTCGCTGTGATTGGCTGAAAAACGAAGGGATTAGCTCATCTGTCCATCACGTCTGGGAGGGCAGGGCTAGTGAGGAGCTTGCAGTGGTACTGAGGGTAAGAGGTTTAAAGAGTGTGTGTGTGTGTGTGTGTGTTGCAATGATGACTCATCACTGTGCTACATTGAGTTGATCCATCATGTGATCTATTTGTCTGATCTCCAGCTCTACAGGATCTTGACTTTGTGTGAGACTTCAATCATCCTCAGCCCAACTACATCCTGAATCAATGGACAATTAAAGCCAGTCAATTAGAAGAGCATGAATTTAACCCCAGCTGCTGTCCAGAACTTCATTAATGCCATTAGCTGTAACAGAGCGCTTCTGGAAATCTACAGTGTCAGCTACATAAAATCTATTTAAAAACTAGTACGCAAGCAAAAAATTGATTGCTTTGTCTCAATTAATCAAACTATATAATAATGTATTAAAATTATATAATTATTTACACAAATTTATACATTTAAAAAAGAATAAAAATTATACATAAAAATCAAAATCTGTATTTCATGTGCATTGGTTAAAACTTATTTTGAAAACTACATTTATTTCACATCTATTTTATTTAATAATACATTTATTTTAAAGAAAGTTAAACAGACTTTAAGCAAATCATTCCACAAAAAAAGAAAAAGAAAATAGTGGACAGTAGCTAATTTAATGAACTATACCTGTGATTACTCTGCTAGGACATTCTTGTGAACTTGAGAGGAACTGACTTCATCATACATTCACAACTGGTTAAAAGTTATTAATATAGCTTTATTTTTAACATACTATGCTATTTTACATTCATTTAAAAAATAATAATTTCCAGTGTCCAAAAAAGGAGGCTCCCAAAGTCTTGAAGAGCATGAAATTAAATGAATTTTCAGAGAATGAATTTTTATTACACAACAAGGAGGTTTTATGGCTTGCATGAAAGGAAGTCTAGCTTTTAAACCTCTTAACTACAAGCTGTAAATGTAAAAGGTCGACTGCTTTTTACGAAGTGTGTGATTTAACCTCTACAGTATCGCATGACAGTGTGCTCTGGTATTTAAACAAATTTGAAGCTTCAGTAAAAAGACACATGGCACACATCTATTTTTTCATGCACTGGATGCCAGGGAGGACTGAAGGACCAAGCTAGTAGCGTGGTATTGAAAATGCTTTCTCTGACGGGGGATATTCTGGCTTGACACATCTCTTTTCTGCACTTCAGTGGCAAATCTGGCGTCAACTACTTGTGCATTTCATTTAAAATGCCCCAGAGCCTGTAGTTTTGATGGGCCTCAATAGTTAAATCAAGATTCTGTTATTTAATTAGTGTTGGGCGATATGCTCAATTGTTATATCGTCCTATCATCAGCCTGTGATATCGCCGATACACCATATTATCATGCTAATTTATTTAATTATTTACTTTTAGTTTCATTGCTGGAAAGTGAACCAACTCCAACATAAGGCTAAAAGCAGCCTAATGTTTTTAATAAGACTGAATTTGTATTTAACATAATAACAATTGAATAGAAACATAGTAAGTTACTTTAGTAAGTTACTAATAATAATGCTTACATTTCCTCAGTTATTCTCTATTATAGATCAGTGACTGGAACACACTGAGCAACAATCATTGGCTTTCCTTTAAATTTGATAATTCCTAGTTTGCCATCATTTTCATAAAGAGTAGGGAACATATGGGCATGATATCAGACTGAAGCCTGTAGGCAGCCCAACATGAATCAAATACTTAGTTCAGCTGTGGGCAATGACTTCTGGAATCTTGTTTGACATATTCAATTTGAGCGATTTAGCCAAAGGCAGTCTGGCCATTGTCTTACGGGATCACAGCAGGTTTGAGTATGAAGTGTGTCTATGTAGGCAGGATATCCCTCTGTACTCAATGACCTCCCACAGATGATAGCGCTCCACTGAGTCTGACACATAGCATTACATCAAGCTAGGCGCAATCCCCTCTCCCTTTCCTGTTTGGAGGTAATCTCTCTGTCTCCCACACACATATAGTCGCACACAAACACAACATATCATTTCACACTTTTCCTGGCACAAAAATCACTTTAGTGCACCCTACATACAGTTTAAAATCAAATAAACACACTTAGGTCTACAGAAGACATGCTATCAAGAAAAACAACAACCCAAAACATTTACGGTTTACTTAACGTAATATAGTTGTGACATCAATTTGTAGGCCAACCTGGAATATATGGGTTTCAGAATGATTCAATTTGGAAGTATATTAAGGCCTGTGGTTAAGCATGTTGTAGAGAAAAGCGTAAAAGTCTATTCACATGATGTTAAGCACACTCTCCTGACAATTTGTAACTGTTTTACATTTTGCCAAGTTGATGAATTTCTAGGATCTCATTTGTGTGTTTTGTACGATCTGCTTTTGCCCCATTGAGATTAGGGATGCGCCGATCCGGTATTCATATCGGGTATCGGCTCCGATAGTGCCATTTTTCTCGGATCGAGTTCCACACACAGAGATATATAAATTCTACATTTATTTAAATGAGGGAAAAAAACTTCACTGGTATCGGATCGGTATCGGCCAATACCGAATATCGGAAGCGAAAAAGGCGGATCGGAGCATCCCTAATTGAGATTTAGGTTTAGGGGTGGACCTTCATGCTTTCGATCAAATATAATTGTACAAATTCATATGAAATCACCAACTATTAAAATGGTTACGTTTTCTCATGAGAACGGTTTGACAGACCTTATTTACTCATAAATCAAAAACCTTTATTCTAAAAATATCTGAGGGAAAATGCCAATATTCTTCTAGGTTTTAGGACTAAGCAGCACTATTGTGAAAGCGCTGATGCTCTTTTGCCTTTTTTCACGGCAGATGAGATATTCAAGATATCAGTGGAGTGCCGTCTCTCTTAAGAAGTTGACATCACTGACATATACCAAAAAAGAAAGCAGAAGAGCCGCACCAAAATTACACTTCAAAGAACTGCGTGTTCGCACAGCATTGTGCTGTTGAGGAAAATCTCACAAAATCTGTCAAGAACGTGTCAGGGTCATATTTTCCCACAAAATTAAAAGAAATAAGTTACATTTTACCTACAAAAAAACAACAACATGAAGAACGTTTTTAATATAATTGCATGCTTACCATTGTAATATAAAGCAAAAAAAAAAAAAAAAACACAGGCCAACTGAATTATTAAAAATAATGCATACCCAAGGTGGTAATGCAGCAATAACGCAAAGCGGAGTGGCCGTTACACCTTGGGTGTGCATCATTTTTTAATAATTCATCGGCCTGTTGTCAATTATTCTGCTAAAACCATGGTTACTTACCACACCTCAAGACATTTTCAGAAGTTTTGTTTCAAGACATTTATGCATTTTTCTGTCTTTAAGAAGTGTATGTAGAACTGCTTTCTTATTCGTCCCATCCATTGCCAACTCAAAAACAGAACTAATAACAGGGACTTGAGCCACTGATAAGCAGTTAGAGAGAGAGAGAGAGAGAGAGGGAGAGAAAGGGAGAGAGAGAGAGAAAGAAATGAGTCTGTGCGGCTTTGATGTTGCATTTGTTTGGTCAATATCTTTGAATGGCCTTTTAAATAGCTGAAATAATTTGGTGAAGTTAAAACTGTCATGTGCCCAAAAGACCATAACCTACTTCACATCTGTGCACTTACTGAAAGATAACTGCCCAGTGCCCACTGTAAAGCATTTGTCAACCAATTAGAATCAAGCATTCAACAGCCCAGTGGAATAACAGGAAAAGAAGAAATTTGTGCTTATTGTGCACTGCCTACTTATATTTAAATTACAAAAATCATTGTAATCAAACCCCTTATCTTAACCCTAACCCTATAGTAAGTAATATGTAGTTAAAGGGGTAGCGGGTGGGGGTCAGCATTCTTATGGATGACATCATCCCACACATAAGGCATTACCTCATTCTTCAATCTTCTCAGCATGACTCACACCACACTGTCAGTGGTATCCCTGTTTAACAAAGAAATCATTTTTGTTTTCTTTGCACACAAAAAATATTCTTGTAGCTTCATAAAATTAAGGTTGAACCATCATGTCACATGGACTATTTTAACGATGTCCTTACTACCTTTCTGTGCCTTGAACATGGTAGTTGCGTTGCTGTCTATGGAGGGTAAGAAAGCTCTTGGATTTCATCAAAAATATCTTAATTTGTGCCTTGAAGATGAATGGAGGTATTACCGATTTGGAACGACATGAGGGTAATTAATGACTGAATTTTCATTTTTGGGTGAACTATCCCTTTATTAAAATGAGTCTGTACGTAATGTTACACTTTAACAAGGACATTGTAAAATAGACTGTAATCTAATTTCCTTTTTTTTTTTTTTGGTGTGAAATGTTACCTGGGCATGGTTTTCAGAGATTCGAAACTTCATGAACTT